CACTTGTACTTCTCATTGTTTATTGAACATATGTGTATACATATTATGTTCTCATACTAAATTTTGATAAGTAATCTATATTTTTTTATCCTGTATGTCGCTTTGCCACAATAACTTACTCGAAAGCAACGAAATAAGTTTAAGTTTTCCACATTCTAATGAATTCGTCAATCAGTTAAAAGAAAAAAATTAAGCAATAGAAGATGCAAGAGTCTTCAGCTAGAAATCGACCCAAACATTAATGAGTAGGATGTAAATTTTGGGATCGACTTTCACCTGAGAGGAGGAAGTCTTGCCCAACAAGCCGTTACTTTTAACCAGGTAGGTCGCCGGGTCTTTCATTAAAAAATGGTCGAACTTAATTGGGTCCTCCAGGTCGGTCAAGTCTTTGCATTTCCGATTCGGGTTGGGGTGCCGGATCCCGATTCGATTTCGCCACCGCCAACTCCGTCGGGCTAGGCTTAATCGCCTCCATCAACGGGTTGGACCTGTATTTTGAATAGGATTGCTAATGAGTAATGAGCCAACTTGTTTTGGAGCTTCTCGACGTTTTGAAAACTTTTTTTTTTGTTTGGGGAAAAGCTCAGACTCATGTATTAACAATGGAGATAGAGCTAAATCTTGTTCTCCCCTTCCACTAATGCAAATGCAAGCGGGAAAATCCGCCTGTTTCCATCAACGCCAGTGGCAATTAGAAGACATCCTCTGTACTTCCCAGTAAGGAAAGTTCCGTCAACCTGAATAAAAATTTAGGATATAATTAGTATGAAATATACTTAACAGCAAATAATACAACATTTAAAACCGGAACTAGTTGGTAAAATACCTGAATAACCGGTATGCAGAACCCAAAACCGTCAATGCATGGTTTAAAAGCCCAAAAAAGACGATGGAACATCAGCTTATCCTGTACTCGAACTTGATCCTCAGTGTATACTTTGTTGTATACTGGGACGAAAACAGTCCCAGGATTGGACTCCTCCATTGCTCCCATAAGTCTAGGGAGTAAAGCATACGAATCCTCCCAATCACCATACACCTCAGCCATGGCTTTCTGCTTACCATACCATGCTTTTTTGTACCTTATCGTGTAAGAATGTCGATCCTTCACCTCTGCCATGATAGCTTTCACCTTGATATCTGGTTGTGCTTCTATAAGGTGCTTAATAGTTCTCTCAACCTTCTTTGCTTTTAGTTGCCTGTGATCTTGGGAAAGTATAGAAGAGGAGCATGTGTGGATCGTCTCAGCTTTGCGAATCACCCAAGCACCCTTTCTCTTCATATTTGCAGCCCGCAGTTGCCACGTACAACCCTCTGCATCATGCTTGCATATGACATGTAGTTGTTTACTGTCAGAATATTTTACCTTCCACTCGAAATTGCGCCTCAACGCCTCTTCTGTAAAAGCATCCTGCACAGCGTCTTTCGATGTGAACGCCATACCCACCTCCAAATTGGCCGTCGGATTGTACACTGGCATAGGGACAAAGTCGGGGGGATCATTCTGACTATGTAAAAATTGAGTTGGAACCTGTGTGTAATATGGCGTGGGTGCCTCACGAAATGCCGCCTCATCCTCGTTATCATCAGTATCTTCCTCCTCCTCGCTCACTGATATCAAATCTTCCTCAGTATCCTCGTCGCTCGACTCGAATGGATAGCTCGGGCTAGAAGGATCAACATGACCACGATCACCAACATCGTCCTCTCGCTCATGTGAAGTACACCCTGATCGAATGGTATTCTCGATTCCATACCACTCTGGCCCCCAAGCAGGCCATTGAACACCATCGGCCTCAACAAATGGGGCTGGTTTAGGAGGTTGCGAGTATTTGTCCCATCCTGCACTACTCGATCCACCGTAGTTGATTGAACCACCACCCTCCCCGTAACCTCCTGTATAACCACCGCCTTGGTAGTTGCTCGAACTACCACCCCATTCGTACCCTCCTGCAAAACCATCATCATAAGAATACTGGTGAGAATGAGATTCACCGACCGCCTCAGTCTCAACATACACCTCTGCAAGCCGGACTTGGTTATCGCTTAGGAACTGTAACATCATCATAAGCGCGTCATCATCGTTTATGACAACTTCTTGGAACACGACCCCGCCAGCACTCATGTCTGGATACCGGTAAGTAATTTTGCCAAGTCTCGTCTGTCCGCTCGTACAAACCCTTTCTGCACAAAGATCACAGAGTTCTTGAAAATTAAATCGGGAATCAATTTTCAGCATAATGGATTCGCCGTCCTCATAATCAATGCCTATGTCAGAGTTTGTCACCCTTCCATTCCACCGAATAGTAAGATGAAACTTCTTGAATTTACCCATATCTACAATTTACAATAAGTATCTATTAGCTTAAAGACAGTAAAATTAACCAAAATCATATTGTACAACTAATATTAAATCATACCATAACTAACGAAAATAAATTCAACTAACTAACAACAACATAATACGAAAATTAAATCATACTATAACTAACGAACATAAGTTCAACTAACTAACAACAACATAATACGAAAATTAAATCATACTATTAACTACTAAAAACATAATTAGACTATAATACGAAAAGTCTCAACATACCGAAAAATTTCTGTTCTGTGTATTATGCTCGATTTTGGCTGCTGAAATTTGAAGAAAGGGGAGTGGTTATGTTTTTACAACTGCTGGTGGTGTGCAATTTATAGGAAAATCTGCCTACTATTCACCGTTTTTGTCGAAAACGGTGAACACCATCACCGCGTTTGTCTCAAACGGTGAATAGGTGGTAGCTGCGACCTAATTTTGACCTACCAGGGGTGGGAAACGTGGGAAATGATCACCACGTTACTTAACAACGATGAATGGGTTCACCGTTTTTGACCAAAACGGTGATGTGTTCACCGTTGTTAATTAACGCGGTGAAAACTTAACCGTTTTAGTTTGAAACGGTGAATACTTCACCGTTTTTGTTTAAGACGATGAAGTATTCACCGTTTTGGTCAAAAGCGGTGATGACCTTCACCGCTTTTGTCTAAAACGGTGATGCTCAAACATGTGTACTTTGGGAAATTTTTTTATAACTCATGTATTTTGGGAATTTTTTTTAAGAACGTGTTTACAGTGGGATTTTTTCCGTTGTTTATGAGCCATCTCGATTTGGTGACTTGTCGAGTTCAACTTGTGAACTGTCTCGTTTTGAACTCATGAGATGTCTCAACGTTATGACTAGCAAGCCAAATCTTATAAGAAAATCGATCTGTATCTTATAAGATTAATTCATAGGTTTATTAATTAAATTTTGCATCTACCCTAAACCAATACCAACTAGTTTTCTACAAACACCATTTGTCAAGTTAGCTAACATATCTTCTCCCCTCGCAACGCCAACCTCTCATTCTGTGTCTCTCACCGATTAGCCAAATTACTGAACACCGCGGAATGGCCGACCAGAATCAACCGCCGTCACAGGAACCAGCATCCACCGACGGCGGTTCGCCTCACGAAGCTCTGTTCCTCGTCCTGCCTTATCTCTCCGTACTCGAGCTTCTCAACGTGCCCCGAGTTTGTACCTCCCTCCGCCGCGCCGTGGAGGATGACGATGACATTCTGCCGTGGCTCGACTTAGTCATGGAAAGACCCTTGAGCCGGCGACTGTCCGACCAGCGCCTCATCGGGATTTCGTCACGAGGAAAAGGGAGATTGAAGAGCTTGATACTGATGGATTGCATCAACGTTACTGACGACGGGCTTCAATTGGTGGTCTCGAACAATCCACTCATCGCTAAGGTATTGTTTTGGTAAAATTATACTAACCATCACTGAACTTTTTGCTTCTGTTCAATTGGGTCACTACATTAATATGAGTTGCATGCCTTCTTGTTTCCAGCTTCATGTGCCGGGATGCATCAGACTCACACCAGATGGGATCATAAGAGCAGTGAAGACGTTATCCGACGACAACAACGACTGCAGGTTGAAGAGTTTATGCATAAGCAACATCCTCGGCATCAACAAGCAACACTTCCACACTCTCTGCTCCTACCTCCAAAGTGCTCACAAGCTAGGAGACACGGCAACATCCAACATTATCGACGTGGATATCTGTCCTGTCTGCGACGAAGTGAGGCAGGTTTATGCCTGCCCACAGTCATCAGAAAAGAAAGAATGCAGCAGGAAGGGATGCAAGCTGTGCATTCCGAGGTGTGAGGAATGCGGAAGATGTGCTGATTGTAAGGAGGATGTTGAACTAGAAGAGGCTACCCTTTGTTCTGAAGTCCTGTGCTCCGAATGCTGGCTTCACCTTCCGAAATGCAACCACTGTAACCAGCCTTACTGCACAAAGCATGTCTACCGGCGGCAACAGCAGCAGGGTGGCACTGGTGGTGGCACCGGGTGGCTATGCGAGGCTTGTCACGTGAAAGCTAATGAGGTCTTGGGGCATGATGATGATGATGATGATGATGATAATTGAGTAGTTTTATATCTTGTGAAGAGCACAGTGCAATCTCTCTCCATCTAGTCATAAATAGGAAAGGAAAAGTCAATATCTTGAAAGCTAAAATTGTCACAACCTGTTTCATTTTTGAATGTTGCACACAAGCAGCTTGTCCATGGCAAGGTGGAGATGTAAAGCTAAAATACATGGAAAACATACACATGGTGTATATGGAGTTCATCATTCTAACATGGTATGAAGTAATCCATACATGTATGTAAGTCGATGTAGTTTTCAATATTAGAAATACCCATGGCAGCGGGCATGCAGATTGAACTCAACTGAGAAGGGGAACTCTGGCAGGTCGCCTCTTGCTGCGTTTCAACAAAACGACGTAGATTGGATCTTCAGAGCTAAGTTCATACAGTTGTCCTGCGATGTCGGCACAAGTAGCAACACTGGTGCAATAGACAGGAAAGGAGAAGTCAGTTTTGGCTTTTGCAACAAGTGGGAATGCAATTGTTAAGTGCTTGCAAAATAACTTCGAGGACACTAACAAACTGATCACAGAAGAAGTCTGAACTTTGATTTTTGGAAGAAGGTTTTAGATGACCAACATAACAGTCTCCAATTCTTTCCAATTTTCCAGCAAAAACTATTCGGATTAGTGTGTGCACAGACTCGAGTTTGTTATAGAAAATGTTGCGCATGCAGTAATTAGCTGACATGTACGCCCCATTTGAAGCTTTACACCCACATCTGGTTTGAAGCAAACCAGTTGATCAACTCAATTCCAACTGCAAACCCCATTTGCAGCTTTAAACCCAAATCTCTTATATTACTCATTCCATTTCTACATTTCAGTGACAAGCTTGTCAAAAGTACTTTCGTGACCATTAATGTGATAAACCCGGGTTATTAAGTTTAATTGAGTATTTGCAATGAATTATGTCATCAAACAGATTCTTCAACCACATTTCATGTTGAAAGGAAAAAACAAGGGAATTCTAATTTATTTACCCCATAGTTGTTCAACCCCAATTCCAACACATGATATAAAGTAGTACAGCTCAAGGTATACAGTAAAATTTCATGAAGAGGAATTAATTACCTCCCAAGACATATCAGTAGAACAATCCAAATGGAAGCACTAAACCAACTTGTTTCCTTATAGCCAACCCACACCTGCATTGGATATTTGAGAACATCACGGAAGAGTGAACAGTTAGAAATACGAATAACCAAACTTAAAAAGTTAGAACAAAGCCTCGGTGTGGCAAAGGTGACCTACCGAGAGAGCCAGAACGATGATATAGAATTCGACCACTGTTGTTGACACCTACCTTCGACCCATTTTGGTAGCAAATAAGCAATCACAATCGAATGGATGGTAAAGAGAATATGCAACAAAAAACAAACAAAATCGTAAGGCATTCCCATTCCTGCCTCAGTACCTAAATACACTAGAGCAGAGTCGCAAGGTTAAACTTGATTGACAGTTTGAACAAACAAAACAAATAGAAGTGAATGCATCAAAATCTTACTGAGTGAAAACCTCTGTACGGAAAGGAGAACCATCAGCCACAATAGAGCAAATCAGACTTGATATCACCAAACAACCAAGAATGGTGAAAACGATTCTTGCAGCGATGACTGGAGAGTACTTCCCCTTTTCTTCCTCACTGCTCCTAAAAGCAAAGCGGTGTTGGTACCATTATTAGTCATTTAAAGAGGATGACCAGAGAGAAGAAGCTGACAGCAGGATGAATCAGTATGATGAGTTTGACGAGGTAATGGGGCAAAGAGGGATGTCCTCTACTGAGAAAAGAGATTCGGGAACAAGTTGATCAAAATAAACAAGCACATACTCCTAGGATCCACAGAGGAGATGAATGTCGGCGAAGCGGGAAACACAAGCTCAAATTTTAAATCAAAAGCCTCTATAGATGAATATATAGACACACAATAAATTCCCAGTTGCATCTTGTATCGGGCAGAAGGTAAAAAAGAAACCTGCTTTCATACCGCAATAGCACATGATAGATAGGGTCTTGTGCAGATTCTTCAGGTGACAACTTGAGAAACTGAACACAAAGATGTAGGTGCAAGTAGTGAGGCTGTACATGGTGAACACAGAGAGAAACATAAAGACCTCAACATCAAATCAATATCCCAAACAAAATATAAAACATCAAATCTCCAATCATATAACCAAGTCATCTAATAACAGAAAACAAACTACAAGATGTGATACTTGAAACCAAAATTTCTGGCATGCTATCAAGTACCAAGACAAAATCCGACATCTATCAACAATTCTCTCCCCCCATACATCCCGTGACGAATCAACAATGTTTTTCCAGGGCATTAATGATAGCTGAAAAGTACAGAAGCAAACATACCCGCCAAGGCACATCAGCAGAACTACCCAAATTGCTGAATTCACAAAATTGCATTCCCTGTGGACAACCCAAAGCTGAAATGAGAGCTCAAGTGCATCAGCCGAAACTGAAAGATCGTTAACAATAGCATTCTGACTCACAGTAAGAACCACAAAATCTTAAGTACAATCGTAGTAAACTACAAGATTTCTCATGAGAAAGATCCCAAGAAGCAAAGGGCAAAGATCCAGTGAAGAGAGGAATAGGCTAAACACACAGAATTCCAGCTTTTGAATCAGTTACTGCGGAAAGTATCTAGAAGAACAAAGGCAGGAACTGAAGCAGCTCTCCTACGGCGAGAGGAACTCCATGCGATTCAAGCGATTCACCTTTTTACCAGCAAACTTCATTTCTTAACAGAATGATCACTTAACTTCACATTTCGTACATTTTTGGGTGGGTCAATTTTTGGACTGAACAAAGAGACGGGCGGGGGAAATTCACATTATGTTTAGGTCTCCTCGGAAGAAAGCCGGCGAAGGCGACTTTCCAAATCATCCAATTTCGCCTTCCACTCTTTCTTCACGCGCACCGGCCGAACATTGCTGTAATCAGCCTGCGCCTCTTCATCGCCGGGAGCAGCAGGGGATTCCCGCAGTTGACCGCTTCTCTTCCGATTCTTGACTTTGCTCTTCACGGCAGCCACCTTCTGCATAGCCAACAGCACATCCAGCCCTCTCAATTGGTTCGGTGTCCCCTGTTTCTCATCCCCTGCAGTAGTATCCTCTGTTTCTTGTGCCTTGGCTGGAACTGCGAACGATGAACGGCGGCGAGGGGCGGCGAAGGCGGTGGCGGGAAAAGCAGCCGGTTTAGTGGGGACGGTAGGTTTAAGAAGTTTTGTCGGAGAAACCAAGGGTGAGGATGGAAGGATGGAGACGGAGGAAGACCACATCGACATGGTTGCTCCTTCGAAGATAGAGAGTTTTTTATTCTTTCTCCTTTAATGGTGTGAGGTGAAGCGGGAGGGTCTAGTTCGTGGCTGAATGGTCACTTAACGTCACACTTACTACTAAATTTGGTCTTCCCGTCCATCACTCCCCATTTTCCGTCCAAAATCAAGACTGGGTTTGTGGCTCTAAACAACAACTGTGTTTGCTAAACCGTACTGCTCAGTCCAATTGAAAATTTGGGCGTAAAAGAAGATAGTCCGTCGAGATATAGCATCCAAACTACGATTAAACTACAAAAATTCTTTATTGCTGATTGGTTCTTGAAGAACATGTTTTCAACATTGATCTATCTCATAATGAAAATCAACATAGCAATAACACAACCAGTGTTTCAAATACGTACATATGGTATGAAGTTCATCGTTCTAACACACACTAGTTCCGACTCCGCATGTACGTCTAACTGTATCTGTCAAAGATCGTTTGTGTTGTCTTTTGCTGCTTAGGTGCTGTCATACCTGCTTTCTGTCCTGCCATTGACAATTTTTCGTTGGCTCTTAGTTCTTCCATTGGCTCTCAGTTGAATCAAATTGAACTGAGAGAAGAGGAGGTCTTGCGTCTCAACAAGACTAGGTAGGCTGGATCTTGGGAACTAAGTTCAAACAGCTGTACTGCGATGTAGGCACAAGTAGTCGCACTGCAGAGACAGAAGCAAAATCAATAACAAGTGCTCAGTCTCATCCACAAGAACAAAATGTTGTCTTTTAATTGTGTCTAATTGTTATCTTCCATAAGTTTGCCAACGATTGATCCTATCAAACGTGCTCATGGGCAACAAAATTGTAGTTTAAGTAGCAAAACCAACCCTTACTACATTTCTTGTTCAAAAAGAAAGAAGAAAAAAACATGTTCAGGGTAGACACAAAAACATTATGAAGGAGATTTTACCTGCCAAAACATATCAATAGAACTATCCACGTGGATGCACTAAACCAGCTTGTTTCCTTATAGGCAACCCACACCTAGATTAAGATATTTGAGCCCATCAGCACAAATACCGAAAGGAAAATTCAAGTAACCAAAACTTTAAAGGTATATTTCTTGTTCTACTCAGCCTGGATAAGAAAAGAATCATTTAGGCTTACAGAAAGAGCCACCACGTTGACATAGAAGTCGATCAGTGTAGCCGACATCCACCTAGACACGTAATAGCGGTAAATCAAAATCATATTCAAATTGATGATACAAAGACAATTCAGCAGGAAAAAAGAAAATTGTAGTAGAATATGCACTATCGGATAAAATATGCTAAAAGAAGAGGCAAGAGGTAATTCACAATTCAATTCTGACATCCAACTTTGTCATATGAATGAATAGAATGAGCAAAAGCGAATGAACCAAAATCTTACGGTGTCAAGAGCTCTGTGCGGAAAGGAGAACCATCAGTCACAATGACCACCACGGCGAGAAGCGCCGCCATGACCAACAGCGGCTGGCCACCGTCACGGACTTGCCTGAGGTTGGAATCCGAAGTAGTGTTCATGGGTACGTAGCTAGCTAATATTTAACTTGGAGCAGATGGAGAGAATGAAGAAGCTAGGAAAACTGATGGAGAGAAAAGAAAGAATTGATGAAGAAGCCTATGGTTGGAATCTGCAAGGAGAAGCTGTATATATAATATAGTGATCCATTCCATCACAGTTACACTGCCTTCGGAGGAGCCAGGAAGGGGGGAAGGGAAAAACCAACATATCGTATACGTATATATTGTCACTACAAGAAAACGGAGATGTAGCGACACATACTGGAGGCACGTAAGATATATATTAGCCTCCGAAAGGAAATTATCGGCGACAATGATTATTTCTGCCCTATATATATATGACACTAGCTATTTGTTGTTAATTGGTGTTTTTTTATAAGAAAATTGTTTCGGCCAAGTTAGAGGATCACCTCTAAGGCGATTATCTTATTTGAAAACAGTTAAGCATACAACATAATACCAATCAAAGGGCAATCCCTCTGCACATAGGGCATGTTGACTGACCTTCAAGCCACTGATCTATGCAGATCAAGTGGAAGAGGTGCCAACATGTTCCCAGCCGCCGGACGTCCACGCCTGCCTCGAACTCTTCCAGGCAAATGGAGCACTCCGCCGGCTCGTCGTCCTCCGAGAACTTCCAGGCGGGGGGCAGTGGCTGTCGCACAAGGGGAAGTATGGGATGCTGCGGCTGAGGCTGATCATTTCCCTCCATCTGAGCGCGGACGCACCGCGTAATGTACGCCATGCCCACCACAATGACCAACACGGCGAGAAGCGCCGCCATGACCAACAGCGGCCGGTAGCCACCGTCACCGTTGACTTGCCTGGGTTGGAATCCGAAGTAGTGCTCATGGGTACATAGCTAGCTAGCTAATATTTAACTTGGAGCAGATGGAGAGAATGAAGAAGCTAGGAAAACTGATGGAGAGAAAAGAAAGAATTGATGAAGAAGCCTGTGGTTGGAATCTGCAAGGAGAAGCTGTATATATAATATAGTGATCCATTCCATCACCGTTACACTGCCTTCGGAGGAGCCAGGAAGGGGGAAGGCAAAAACCAACGTATCGTATACGTATATATTGTCACTACAAGAAAACGGAGATGTAGCGTCACATACTGGAGGCACGTAAGATATATATTAGCCTCCGAAAGGAAATTATCGGCGACAATGATAATTTCTGCCCTATATATATATGACACTAGCTATTTGTTGTTAATTGGTGTTTTTTATAAGAAAATTGTTTCGGCCAAGTTAGAGGATCACCTCTAAGGCAATTATCTTATTTGAAAACAGTTAAGCATACAACAGAATACCAATCAAAGGGCAATCCCTCTGCACATAGGGCATGTTGAATGACCTTCAAGCCACTGATCTATGCAGATCAAGTGGAAGAGGTGCCCACATGTCCCCAGCCGTAGGACGTCCACGCCTGCCTCGAACTCTTCCAGGAAAATGGAGCACTCCGTCGGCTCGTCGTCCTCCGAGAACTTCCGGGCGGGGGGCAGCGGCGGTCGCACAAGGGGAAGTATGGGATGCTGCGGCTGAGGCTGATCATTTCCCTCCATCTGAGCGCGGACGCACCGTGTAATGTACGCTATAACCACCGCAATGACCACCACGGCGAGAAGCGCCGCCATGACCAACAGCGGCTGGCCACCGTCACAGACTTGCCTGAGGTTGGAATCCGAAGTAGTGTTCATGGGTACGTAGCTAGCTAATATTTAACTTGGAGCAGATGGAGAGAATGAAGAAGCTAGGAAAACTGATGGAGAGAAAAGAAAGAATTGATGAAGAAGCCTGTGGTTGGAATCTGCAAGGAGAAGCTGTATATATAATATAGTGATCCATTCCATCACAGTTACACTGCCTTCGGAGGAGCCAGGAAGGGGGGAAGGGAAAAACCAACGTATCGTATACGTATATATTGTCACTACAAGAAAACGGAGATGTAGCGACACATACTGGAGGCACGTAAGATATATATTAGCCTCCGAAAGGAAATTATCGGCGACAATGATTATTTCTGCCCTATATATATATATATGACACTAGCTATTTGTTGTTAATTGGTGTTTTTTTATAAGAAAATTGTGTCGGCCAAGTTAGAGGATCACCTCTGAGGCAATTATCTTATTTGAAAACAGTTAAGCATACAACAGAATACCAATCAAAGGGCAATCCCTCTCCACATAGGGCATGTTGACTGACCTTCAAGCCACTGATCTATGCAGATCAAGTGGAAGAGGTGCCCACATGTCCCCAGCCGCCGGACGTCCACGCCTGCCTCGAACTCTTCCAGGCAAATGGAGCACTCCGTCGGCTCGTCGTCCTCCGAGAACTTCTGGGCGGGGGGCAGCGGCGGACGCACAAATTATAATAATTGTGTTTTTTTTCCTCTTTCTGATAGGGTTAATAAATTTTGATGCCCCTTCATTTTCTCCTTTTGTTTCATACTATGAAGAGTTTGTGTCGACGTAAAATTTTAATTACCTAAAAGTGTTTGGTATAAAAAAAAAAACATTATCATTGGTTTGAGCCGGACAGCGGTCGAGCCGCCCCTGTCGAAGCTCGAGCGGATGGTGGGAGCGGCCAACCTCAGGTGACGTTAACCTTCAAGACCGATGGAGTTCAGGGCCGCCCGCCGGATTCTAGTCCGTATAATGGACTAATGAAGTCCATGGTCACAAATGAGAACACAGCGAACCTTTCCTCGGGGATGCAGATTGACGGGACATAGCCGCCACTCGCACAACTCTAAGGGAGTCCCTTTCCTTTTCCACTTTATTTATGGATTATAAAGTTTTTTCTTGGAACTGTAGGGGAGCGGGGGGTAAGGACTTCCTACGAGCTTTTCGGGAGTATCGTAGAAAGTCTAAACCTCATATAGTGATCATTGTGGAACCTAGAATCAGTGGGAACCGAGCTATTAATGTTATTCGTAAAATGGGCTATGATAAGGAGCTTATTGTTGATGTCGTGGGTTTTTCTAGGGGCATTTGGCTGCTCTGGAACTCGGGTGAGCTGAATATTTCTAGTATTGACTCTAACCAACAATGCCTTCACGTGCAGGTACATGGGCTTTCTCCTCAAGACATTGAATGGCAGCTATCAGCTATCTATGGTAGCCCGGCTCCCATGCAGCGTCGCGAGCTTTGGGTTTTTGAGACAGCTGGCTGAGGATATGGTGCAACCCTGGCTCTTGGTGGGTGATTTCAACTCCATTATGAGCCCGTCGGAGAAATTAGGGGGTGCCCCTTTTGATGCAGCCAGGATCAGGGATTTCCAGGAGGTAGTCCAGGATACCGAACTGATCGACCTGGGATTCGAAGGACCAGCTTACACTTGGTTCCGGACCGGACTCCGAGAGAGACTGGACAGGGGAATGGCAAATAATGTTTGGGTGACAAATTTTCCTGAGACAGTGGTGAGACGCCTGCCCCGTATGAAAAAATCCGATCACCGGCCGATTCTGGTCTCCTTAGCCGAGCCACATCCACCAGCGGGACCCAAACCTTTTCGCTTTCTAGCGGCATGGCTCACTCACGAGGGTTTCCGAGATATGGCGGATGTAGCTTGGTCGAAGGGAAACTCATTCATGGAATCGGCCACCGCTTTCGCTCAGGAGGCATTAACTTGGAACAGAAATGTATTCGGGCACATAACCAGGCGCAAAGACAAGCTGCTGAGGAGGCTTGAATATCTCGAGCAGGCTGGGGGAGGTCAAGGGAGCGAGGCCCAACTTCGACAATGCCAGGAGGAATTGGAGCTGGTTTCTTTTCAAAAGGAGCTTCTGTGGTGCCAAAAATCCCGTCTGGAATGGATTAACTCGGGGGACAAGAACACTGCGTATTTTCACACCATAACCCTCCGACGGAGAAGCAGGAACCGGGTTACTATGCTCAAAGACGACGGGGGCAACTGGGTCGAGGATCAATCTCTGCTGCTAGAAATGGTGCGAGCTTATTTTAGTGGGTTGTACCAGGATGAAGGAGGGGATCTATTAGCCCTCCTGGAGGGCTTTCCGGCTTTGGGGGCATCTCGCTGGCAGCCGCTCAATCAGATGCCAAGTTTGGAGGAGATCCATGCAGCCGTGAAAGCGATGGGACCTCTACTAAAGGCCCCAGGCAAAGATGGTCTGAGCCCGATCTTCTTCCAAAGATGTTGGGAAACGGTGGGAGCTTCACTGGCAGCCTTTGTTACCGACTGTTGGAACATCCCAGAAAAAGTCAAGGAAATCAACTGAACTATACTGGTGTTAATACCGAAGATAAAGCAGTGGCGTACAAGGCAATCACTAAATGCCTTGCTGAGTGGTTGAAAAACCTCATGCCGGAGCTCGTCCACGAAACCCAGACCAGCTTCGTCCCTGGGCGCCACATTACTGATAATATATGCATCCTTCAGGAAGTGATCCACTCGATGAGAGCTAGAAAGGGCAGGCGTGGATGGATGGTCCTCAAGGTTGACTTAGCAAAGGCATATGATAGAATCAGGTGGGGGTTTGTTCGGGACACTCTAGTCGCGGCAGGGGCCCCAGATAAGTTTGTGGAGTTGACAATGGCGTGCATATCATCAGCGTCAATGCAAATATAGTGGAATGGGGGCCTGACGGAGAGTTTCCAACCATCCAGGGGTTTAAGACAGGGCTGCCCCCTTTCCCCGTACATATTCACCCTGTGCATGGAAAGACTGGGGCACATTATTGCTGACGCCGTCCGGGCGGGGAGGTGGAAACCAATAAAGTTATCGCAGGATGGTCCGGCCCTCTCGCATTTGTTCTTTGCAGATGACCTGATTCTGTTTGGCGAGGCGACAAGAACACAGGTACAAGAAATAAACGCATGCTTTGAAAAATTTGGCGGGTCATCGGGCCAGCAGATCAGTAGGCCGAAATCCCGGGTTTTCTTCTCAGCCAACACCACAGCCGACTGCCAACAAAGTTTGAGCCAAGAACTTCAGATCCCAGTGACAAATAATCTGGGGAGGTACTTGGGGGTGCCGGTAATTCACGACAGGGTGTCGAAAGCTACCTTTATGGATCTCATTGATCGGATCGATAAAAGGCTGGTAGGCTGGAAGGCGTCCACTTTATCCCTAGCTGGCCGGATTACGTTGGCACAGTCGGTGCTGGCCTCTCTCCCGGCCTACACGATGCAGACGACTTGGCTGCCGGCTAAAAGTGTGCCAGATTATATCGACAAGAAAATTCGGTCATTCGTTTGGGGCAGCACGGAGCAGGGCCGGAAGATCCATCTCATTGACTGGGAAACTTTGTGCCGGCCAAAAGACGAAGGGGGTTTGGGACTCAGAGACTCCACCAGAACGAACGAAGCATACATGCTCAAAATCGCCTGGAGGATGCTTACTAAACCACAGGAATTATGGGCGAGAGTCCTCCTGGGCAAGTACTCGAGGCAAACGGGGGAGGGGCGCCAATTCCGTACCCAAGGCAGGCTCTCAAACCTTTGGAGAGGGGTAACTCGGGTGGCTCATTTGGTTGAGGAAGCGACGTGTTGGAATATCCGCAATGGGAGAACGGCAAAATTCTGGAGTGATCGATGCTCGATGACAATACCATTCTCAAGGACCACGCCCCCAACCTGCCGATGGAGCTCCTGGAAATGCCTGTCATCGAGTTTGTTCTTAATGGTAAGTGGAATTCTGATTTTCTACTATACTACTTACCCCATGATGTTGTCTCGCAGATTAATCTTCACCCTATCCCGGCGGAGGAAGCGGAGGACGTTCGAGCCTGGCGATTCAACCCCAACGGAGAATTCACTCTCCGATCGGCGTACGAGCTCACGGATAACACTGCGGAGGCAAACCTGGGACAGCAAGCCTGGCGGTCGGTGTGGAAGGCACCAACTTTGCAACGAGTGCGGGCCTTCTTGTGGCTGATGAACCATGGACGACTGCTTACCAACGCGGAGAGGGCACGACGACATCTCACCGACGAAACGAGCTGTAAGATTTGTGGAGGCGGACCAGAAACAACCCTACACATAGTCAGAGACTGCCCTTTTGCTCGAGCAACGTGGGCAGACCTCCTTGAAGACGAGCCGGACTCCAGATTCTTCGAATCCGACGGCCAGAGGTGGAGCCTTTACTACCTTTCAGGGCGGAGTAATACCATTGATGCTACTTTGTTTGCAGGAACCTGTTGGCTCTTGTGGAAGAACCGGAATGACTTCGTGTTCCAAGACAAGTTGAAGACCCATACATAAATCCAGTTTACTTCAAGACAGCTCCAGGACGAGATCATCAAAGCACTCGATCAGGAGAAGATAGTGTTCGGGACTGGGGGCACCCGCGAGCAGCGCCAAATTGGCTGGCAACCACCGGCGCAAGACTGGGTCTGTGTCAACACAGATGGCTCAGTCATCCATTCTCCTGGGAGCACATCCTGTGGCGGCATCATACGGGGGAGTGATGGCCGCTTCGTCAGAGCATTCACTGCGAACCTTGGAGGGGGTTCTATCACTCGTGCGGAGCTGGCTGGTATTGTGTATGGGTTGGATCTTGCTTGGGAGCAAGGAGCCAGGAAAGTTCTTCTACAAACAGACTCAGTAACTGCAAAAACCCTGATCGAGAAGGCGACCGAGCAACATATGCACTACTCACAGATCAGTGAAATTAGGAGAAGGCTGCAACGTGACTGGACGGTTCGAATTGACCACATTTTCCGTGAAGCGAATTTTGCCGCGGATCACCTTGCTTCATTGGGCCATTCGCAAACGATCGGAGTTCATGTAATGGATAGACCGTGTACCTCTCTGCTGTACTGGCTGTTTTTTGACCGGGTGGGAATTGAAACCCCCCAGTTCGTCCGCATGCAATAAAGGTTTGGGCGCCCTTAGCGCCCTGTTTTTACCACACAAAAAAAAGCTCCCAAAATAGGAAATTGATTAGTCGAATTTACTTACTAAACTGTCCCTCCCAAATTAAATTTTCCCCCAGTCTCCTAGTCAACTAATTACCATGATCATCGACGAGTTTGACTAAATTTAAATTACCAAACCCATTACCGACAAAAGTTTCCATTTCCTCTCCCTTTGATTCTTCTTCCTTGCCATATTTTGCCCATTCTCTATAGTTATAGAATACATAAAATTAAATATTTTAATAATTAACTAATAAGAATAAAATTGTTTGTACAAACAAAAGAATGTACAAATAATAATAATAATATTTTAATAATTAACTAATAAGAATAAAATAGTATGTTTTATGTTTAAGAATGTACAAATAATAAGAATAAAATTTTTTGTACAAACAAAAGTATATAAAATTCAAATTACAAAAAAATTAAAAAAAAATTAAACCAGTTCGGTTTCGGGTTCACCCGAACCGAAACCACCAGTGATTTTTTCGGGTTTCTGAACCCGCAACCCGCAAAACACAAATTCGGTTTCAGTTTCGGGTTTGTGGGAGCCGGTTTCGGGTTCGATTTTTTTGCGGTTTTCGGGTTCGGTTACCCGACCCGAACCGACAGGCCTACTTGTCTCCAAGCCCAGGTTCATCTTCTTTTCCCTCGCGATTAATCTACTTCTCCTAGAATTGTCATTCATATTTTCTGAAACTCAGTGGAGCTGAAATTTGACCAATTCTTCAATTTGGGGTCATGGGGTTCTGTAAAAGCTCAACTTTTACGATACCTGATTTCACTAATTGGGTGATTTAGTCATCGTGTCGTTGAACAGGATGGAGCTTTTGTATATGGAGAAAGGATGGTTAGCCAATTAGGATTGATTTGATCGGAAGTTTTCAATAAGGGATACGGGACACGAAATAACCTAGAAATGTTAATCAGTAGTGATGGCTTTGTAATCCGAACTTTGCAGGGAATATCTGAAATTTTAATCCGGTTAGTTGTTTATGTTCAGTAACACTGATCTGAAGTGGCAATGAACTTGATATTAAACAAAATCTCCATGGTACATTTGCAATTGCTTGTCACTGTTTCCATTGAGTTTGCAGATTGGTATAACACCGCCCTCGTTTGCCACAGATGGCGTTACTTTGCATGTCATCCTCGTCTATGGCTCAGAGTAGACCGTTCTGTGAAAGATATTGAGACTGCTGTTTCTGCTGCTAGGTACTTATATTGGGATGTAATTTCTCTCTGACCCGTGAATGCTCTATTCTGATGATTATGCTGCTGTTAGACCTGGAGATACCATTCTAATTGCTGCAGGAGGGAGTCATTTTGCCTCTAATATCCAGATAGATAAACCACTATGCCTGGTATGTTCGGATTGAATTCTGGGGTTTGTTATTCACTGAAGTGATATGCTTGCCAAGCTTCAATGCTTTTAAGAAAACCTCAAATGGCATGCTTTCATAGTTAGTGGCTTCTTCAAGCATGACTTGTGATTCGAGGAAGTGTTACTTGTTTAGTAACTTAGGGTTCTTGTGTTTTAGTTGATTGTGTTACTTTCTCCATATATGGTGCAAATTTCAATCTCGAGATAACCGAGGATTCATGGGATTTCTGCCTTAATCCAACTAACGTGACCTCATTGAAGTTGCATCTCGTGAGAACCAACTGAAGATTCGCTTAATGGTTTCATGACCCATATGTGTGTTGAATCCCTGGTTGTACAATGTCGACGAAAGAATATGTTTCCGGTACCAGATTGGTGGATGTGTGCTTTTCTGTTTTTCAGATTGGTGGAGGTGACATCCCAGATGAAACAACGGTTTTGTGCTCTAGAGGTTCGGACAGGTACATAGAACTCCATCCCTTTCGTATTGATGGTGATATTTTGGGAGCCTCCTTCAAGTTATTTATCTTCTGAGAAAAAGGTTTACTAATTCTTTCGATGGTGGAATCGACGAAGTTCACCATTATCCAATTGTTTACTTCTTGAAAAAGCTATCAACAGTCGTGGTATATTCTCTCTCTACCATATGATTTTTGAGAAGTGCGCTGGAGTGCATTTCATCTTGCAAATTGATGAACCTAACCGTCAGAACAGAGCTTGGTTGTTGCTTGCTTCATGAAAGCGGAAGGCTGACCGTAGATGGCTGCATACTTCAATGTGAATCTAACCCTCTGGACTACCTATTGTGAGCACAGCAGGTGCTACCAGGCTTGAGCACAGCACTAGCAAGAACAGGAAGAGCATCAATAATAGTGTTGTTGTCTCTAAAACCCGAATAGAAGGGGGTGCCAAGGATGTACTCACAAATGGAGACCTGGCTTCGCAACGTGTTCGGGTTATTTTTACGCTCGTGCTTGTTTCTACTTCTTGTTCGATTTAGACCGCCAATGATGTATTCATAGTTCTTGTTGTGTTGTAAGATGAAGGAACCTGTCTGCATTTACTTTGTTGTTGTACCAAATCCTTTCTTTTCAAACGAACAATCAAGTTCTTCAATTCTCATAATATCCTCATTTCCCCTCTCGCCAGATGTATGGCTAACCAATTGAGGCCCGAGAAGGAAAGCAGCATCTGCAACTATAAGTATATCCGAAACTTATTTCAACTACATAAACCATCTCGGATCAAAATTTCCCCGAGTAGGCCTACGAGTAAAGAGCATCCTGAAACTGTCACCGCGAAAAAAAGTACATGGTACTATAAGTATATCCGAAACTTCTTTCAATTACATAAAACCGTCTAAGATCAAAATTTCCCCGAGTAGGCCTACGAGTAAAGAACATCCTGAAACTGTCACTGCGAAAAAACACTGCAGCCCGTGTCATGACTCATTCTCTGGGCAAAGGCAAATGCAAGAAGCTTACCACACTCGTAGTTAAGAACAGTCATTTTCCTCAATCTGATGCAGATTTTGGTGTATCTTTTTGCTTTTATCACAGCCACAAAATTGGCTAGTCAATTAGCCTCATTCTCCCCATGGTCCCTCCATGTTGATAATATGCCTGCTTCTTTCTTCTTCGACGGCAGCAGTATTGGCTAATAAATTGAGTCAAATACTGCCAAAGGGTTTTTCTTTCTCTTCACAAATTCAATTCCCTGCTGCGTGCCTTCTTTGCACCACTAAATCATCAGCTGAATAATAATCAGCAATGAGCCGATACATGTAGGAAGGGTTATGTCCACCACTGCCGAAGTAACAAGGAAAAGCAGCATCATGGTCATTATATATGCAAATATTTACATGTAATTTTATGCACACTTACAGATCTACCAGTGAGTCTAGTGAACGAAGTATAGTCCTCGGTAAGATAACAAATGAATAAATAGATATGCAAAGTTTCTAGATCACTCATACGAGTTGCAGAAAGTTGTCAAATATTACGTCATTTTATGGCATGCACAGAATATACGTGGAAGAGGTGCAACTTACATGTAATTTTATGCACACTTACAGATCTACCAGTGAGTCTAGTGAACGAAGTATGGTCCTCGGTAAGATAACAAATGAATAAATAGATACGCAGAGTTTCCAGATCAGTCATATGAGTTGCAGAAAGTTGTCAAATATTACGTCATTTTATGGCATGCGCAGAATATACGTGGAAGAGGTGCAACTTACATGTAATTTTATGCACACTTACAGATCTACCAGTGAGTCTAGTGATTAGTGAACGAAGTATAGTCCTCGGTAAGATAACAAATGAATAAATAGATATGCAGAGTTTCCAGATAAGTCATACGAGTTGCAGAAAGTTGTCAAATATTACGTCATTTTATGGCATGCGCAGAATATACGTGGAGGAGGTGCAACTTACATGTAATTTTATGCACACTTACAGATCTACCAGTGAGTCTAGTGAACGAAGTATAGTCCTCGGTAAGATAACAAATGAATATATAGATATGCAAAGTTTCCAGATCAGTCATACGAGTTGCAGAAAGTTGTCAAATATTACGTCATTTTATGGCATGCGCAGAATAGACGTGGAAGAGGTGCAACTTACGTGTCTGTGATAAACAAACTAACTGCCTTTGGTGGGACATAATCAAATGTTGGGTTGACAACATGAAGGAGAGGAGAACCATCACCGCTCCCAAAATCTAAGCAATCAGAAAATTCTCCAAAATCTAGCAGCTCCGATGGGGATCTCAGTTCATTCAGTAACACCTCCGGATTGTGAGGATACAAGGGGCACAACTACCAAACAAGACAAACAAAGGAAAATCTGATAAAGGTTCACCATGGAAATTAGATACAGAAACCAAAAGGGATAAAAGAGAGACGAGCAGTAACTGGCAAAACAAAGTAGAAGTCTACTTGCTTATTACCATAGGTCCACGACAGGTAGAAGCTCCTATATACACTAAAATTACCTTGTGACTGCCAGCGAGCACAACAAAAGGGACGGCATGCTTTTGAGCTGCCAGTGCAACCATATTCATTCCAACAGGTGCTATGACCCCACCATTGGCCATCACAGCGTGAGATCCCACTATAACCTTTATATATAAGAAATTTCAGGAAGAATGATTATCATAGCCTTCTTTGAACAGCAGGAAAAAGGAAAAGGAAGTCCCCATTTACATACCATGTTCACTCGAGAAATCATAGCGAAAACTGCAGAATCAGTAATCAAGGTGGTCTGCAATCCCCTTGCAACCAATTCTTTTGCCAGTAGATGCCCCTGGTACCTATTTACAAATGAATGTGTTTAGAGAAATGTACCTCATACGAAGAAACAAAAAAGTATTTCATTTGCTTTACAAAGTAGCCATATACACAAACCTTGGAGCTCCCTCGGCAACAAATACACGAAATGATCTTTTCTTCTCTTTTGCAGCACACAGGAACTCTAACACTGTTTTTGAACTGCCTAAAGTTAATATTACCTCACTGAAGACAATTTCATAACCAAATTAGTCAAGGCAGTAACAATATCGCCCATGAAGAAATTAAATACTAAAATAACTTCTTCCATCCACATCTATGCACATAACAAAAAGGAACCAAATGTGACATTTTTTTCAGGTAGACTGCTTCATCAAGTCCAAGTTAAAAGGCTGAAAGGAAATTTGTGGTTTAAACAAAAGTAGATAATAGGCATGACACCAAAACATACAATAGTTTCTAACAAAAAAAGAACATACAATAGTTTCCTCTGGAAATGTTAAGGCATTAGCCAGAGAAGAAAGGCAACAGACATCAGAAGCACCTACAATGACGTTAAACACTGTTAAAACTGATACTAGAACAAACCAGAAACTGTATCCAAGCAAAATAGCAACAAAGAAAAACTCCTTTATCCATACCGAAATTACAATAAACCCTTCCAGATCCTAAGGTCTACCCATTACATTCACAAAACTAAACACATTGAAGGCAGAGAAACGAGTTCTAGAGAACTAACTTAGCTGAACAGTAAAAATATTCGAGGAAATTACTTTTGATGAATATGCTCCACAGCTTGCTCAGCAATAAGTTCATGACACGTTGTGATATCTTGAATGAGCTCATTAACTGCCTCAATGATATCATGTTTCAGCTTTCGAGTTCTTGAATTTCTATCCATAGCTGTCAGGTACAGTAAGAGATTCAATAAACATGTTTTCTATCGAAAATACAAAGGGCCATAGAGAATGGTCAGTTCGGTATCTTGATGGCATAAGATAAGTACATGAAACCTTGAACAAGAAATTTTAGAACAGATGAGTCCCATCCCATGACGACCAATTTATTTATGCAATTGTTCTGACTAGCAGAACAGCAACAGATCCTGTGTCAATCACAGACCTTGTGGAGGGAAAAAAAAAAGGATATCTTACATTTGCTTTTCCCTTCAGAATCACCGCCAGAAGAAGATGATCGAGGAACGGCAACAAAGTCAGGTGCACCCTCCAGCAACATTTGCAAGGATGGTGGACGAAGGGTGTTCCTTGCAGCAGCAGCAACAGCCGCTGCTGATAGAACTGGACGATCATCTTGGTCACCACCACCACCATCATCATCATCATCATCACTCACTGTTGATAAATTTAACTCCGCAACAGCAGCTGTTGTCAATGAAAGATCCTCTTCCCTAATAATGTGCAAAACACGCCTCACAATATTACCCACAGCAAGCTCTGCAACCAGATATGTAACAAAAAAAAAAAAACATTAATAGAAAAGAGACATTGGGAACTCTATGACAGGTGAGCCAAGCAGAAGCAATCCAATCTTGGATACATCAGATTCAGATTCATGAGATGCGAATTTTTGGTCATTCAATATACCTCTTTGCATAACTTCAATTTGTATCAGTATAATCTCTGGTCAACTATCAGATTTCAAAAATTTCAAAGCCTGTCCAATTGAAGATTTATCCTTCAGAACTACATGTAAATTAGAGATGGGCATAAGAAAATAACTGGACAGACATACCAATAGGATTTGCAACAATAAGCTGCTCTCCGATAGCTCTAACAGCATCAATCAAGGCTCCAGCCTGATTAGTACGAGGCACCCGTTGCTGTGAAATCACTGAGCGCAGGAGTTCAGCAGTCTGCTTTGCTGTTGCCTGAGATCCCTCAATTTTACTACCCAACAAGAGTTCATCCAAACTTAAATTTGTTACACAAGCTAAGCCTCTAATTCAACGGCAAAATTCCAACCGAGAAAACCCCAAACTCACCGTTTCTTAAGCTTATTGAGGAACATATTAACGAGGGCCTGCACGTCTGGCATGGCTGGCTAATTCCTAATTACACCAGAGAACTTGATTTCTTGACGAAATATCCAGTATGGGAACCAATAAATCGGACTTCCTCAAGTTCCTCTAACAGCAGGAGAGAAAACCCATAAACAATAGAGAATTTTACATGAGAAAGGGAAGTAAAACCGCACATTTCCGGCAATCAAACAACGGAGAAAAAACCAAAGGGACATCCCATTAACTTCTCCAGAGAAAACACAAAGGAGAACAAAAACTAAAGAAAAAAACTATCCAATCTCTGTATCAGCAGAAAATCAGACGACGGCACAGGAAACGCTGAAAGAGAAAGCACTCACGGACAACGAAAGAATGGAAGATAAGCATCAGCAAAAAGAAAAAAAAAAACAGAGAAATCTGGGGCAGAGAGACAATTACGACCACCATGGATAGGAAATAGCAGATGAAAGTACCTTACCTCTAGACCCGAGATCAAGGCAGACGCGAGAAAGGGTTTTAACTTCTAGCTAGAGGAAAAGGAGTGCTCAGACCTTTACCGTGAAGCGCCAAAGATGGTGCGAGCACATAATTTGTTAGGCTAGCACGCACTACTTCCAGTAAATAAAAGTATTGTTTTTGCTCATTTTTAGTTAGGTAAATACAACTTAATAGCCATATTTTCCCTAATATCTGGTCAGGGATTCTTTATATTTGGTCGTTGGGCTCTACAAAATGAGATCAATTTTCAATATATTTCGAGAATTTTTTTTACCAACTACATACCATATGGTAACTTCTTCATTTTTAACTTGTTTTTTAAAACGTTTGCTCAAAAGGAACGAGGTCATCATGATCTATTGGATTCAAATTTCTGAGTGAAAAAAATACTGGACTAAAAATTATCATACTTTACCACTATGGTATGTAGGTGGTAACTTGTAGTAATGAAAGTCGTAAATGATAGTTTTTTTTACAACAAAATGACAGTTAGTATACTCCTACTATCATGTATTCAACCTTATTGCCATATTGGTATGTTCATATCATCATGGTACGCTTTCGTACCATATGGTATTATATAGGAGCATACCATATGTTTGTACCAAGTCGCTCCCGGTATGAACAATGATATTTGTTGGTGTGGGGTTGACTCACGATCTGTTCGTCTGATCTCGTCGGGAGGGAAGGGACCTGTGAAAGAGCCGGGGTTGCCCCCCCGGATTAAGCTCCGACGATCAAGTCAGTTTATGTTTCAGGTGAAAGTTGAGGGAACAAGGTAGAAAGATAAAATGTAGAGAGATAATGGAAAGTGGAAAGTGAGGAGGGAGAAGAAGAAGTCCCCTTCTTTGGAGGGCTTCAAGCCCTTATATACCTGTAGCGGGTATCCAGTGTTCCCCATTGTCGATTGTGCCCCCTCCTACTTATTCTGAATCGGAGTATTTCAGTAGCACCCCCAACAATTGCCCCCCAAGCTGGTGGTGAGTTTTAACTCATCGCTAGCTTGTTATTTTTTTTTCAAAATATATTCATCGATAATTTTGGATGGAGCCCTGTGTACCCCAGTTGCCCCCCAGCTGGTGGCGCGTTTGACTGACGCGGTGCCGGCTTCTTATGTCTTGCCCCCCATTATCGCCATTAACGCTCAGGAAAGTAAAATATTTCAATATTTAATGATGATAGAGGGGTAGAGTACTTAGCTTTGTGTTGGCGAAGCAGCGCGAAGAGTTGTTAAAATAGAGTGTTGGGCCAATGAATCACAAGGCGTGTATGTAGCCTACTGGTATTGTTGCTTGTCACGCGGAGGAGTGACGCGAGTTCGAATCCTGGTGGCGTCGATATTATTTTTGAAGGGTTCCGCTCCTGTTGAGTGCGGAGCGCGAGGGCCCAGTGGCGGTGCGCTTGGACGCGGGCTCAGTGTGCCGCGAGTTGGGCTGCAAGCTTGGGCCCGCGAGTGGTGGTCTCCTTTTCCGTGAACGTACCGCGTCCGCGCTTCGGAGAAGCGAAGCTTAAAAATGGCGCGCTGCACCTATGGATCATGATTACGGTTTGTAGCCCTATTGCTTGCCTTTCCTGTCTTGTACAAGATTGGTGCGAGTTCAATCTCTCGCGACGACAATATTATTTTTGACCACGAGTTGGGTTCATGCGTGCTAGTTGCACGGGACGCGAGTTAATCGTTTTGTATTCTGTCGTACTTAGTGGGCGCGAATGGTTCATGACCATTGCTTTTTTTTTGTTCCGTGGAACTGAGTGGGCGCGAATAGTTCGTGACTATCGCTAATTTTTTGTTCCATGGAACTGAGTGGGCGCGAATAGTTCATGACTATTGCTATTTTTTGTTCCGTGGAACTGAGTGGGCGCGAATAGTTCGTGACTATTGCTATTTTTTTTTGTTCCGTGGAACTGAGTGGGCGCGAGTAGTTCGTGACTATCGCTAATTTTTTGTTCCATGGAACTGAGTGGGCGCGAATAGTTCGTGACTATTGCTATTTTTTGTTCCGTGGAACTGAGTGGGCGCGAATAGTTCGTGACTATTGCTATTTTTTGTTCCGTGGAACTGAGTGGGCGCGAATAGTTCGTGACTATTGCTATTTTTTATTCCGTGGAACTGAGTGGGCGCGAATAACTTCTTGGTTATTGCTATTTTTTGTTCCGTGGAACTGAGTGGGCGCGAATAGTTCATGACTATTGCGACTTTTTGTTTGTTCCGTGGAACTGAGTGGGCGCGAATAACTTCTTGGTTATTGCTATTTTTTGTTCCGTGGAACTGAGTGGGCGCGAATAACTTCTTGGTTATTGCTATTTTTTGTTCCGTGGAACTGAGTGGGCGCGAATAGTTCATGACTATTGCGACTTTTTGCTTGTTCCGTGGAACTGAGTGGGCGCGAATAACTTCTTGGTTATTGCTATTTTTTGTTCCGTGGAACTGAGTGGGCGCGAATAGTTCATGACCATTGCGACTTTTTGCTCTTGCGAACTGAGTGGGCGTGAATGTTAAAATTCAGACGCGGCACAATTGAAACAAAAGGCTCGCTTGTAGCCTGCTGGTGATGTTGCTTGCCTGGGAGTGATTGAACCCTGGTTCGAATCCCCAATCAAGCGCGTGATTTTTGTGATGCTTTGCGCTCTACAGCTTCACTCCGTTGCGCGGGCCGGAAGTATGAAGGTGGGGCGGACACGGATCCGCGAGTTTGGGCCGCGACTTGGGCTTCATCTACGCGTGGAGTGTTGTTAAAATGAGAGTACTGTGCCAAAGGGTCACAAGTCGCGACGCTGGGTTAATTGCACCCGATGGCACTTAAGTGCTAATAATGTTGCAGGGTTAGCACCTAAACAGATTGTGTTGCAACTAATCCCCTTACCTAAGCTTCCGGTTGCAAAGCTACAAGTTCCGTCGACGGAAGTAACGGCAGGTACCAAATATCTAATTTGCTAGGACAAGTAGGCAGGACATGTCAGCACAGCTTGCTGACTCATCTTCAATCCACTAATATTCGAAGACTCTTTTGGGGGGAACCCTCTTTTGATCAGCCGACCTCTCCTCCGACCTTTCCTCTCCCTCCTCTGTACTCTGTACTAGAATTTCTCAAAGACGAAATCCTTCGCCAAGAAACACGATCGCGAGACGAGGAGGAGGGCAGATTAGCAAGACGTTCTAGGTACCAATCGTTCTTTCATGCTATTATTCATTCCCCTGTTTTACCTTTTCTCGTATTCATTCCCTTGTTTTACCTTTTCTCGACAGTGAACTACAGACTAGACCCAGCCAGTCGTCGCCTTGATGCATTAGAAACAAACACTTACCCTAGCCTGTCTGTTTCTGGCGACGAGATTCGCTCTTTCACCGGCCATCTGAGGGATTACAAATAGAATAGAAAAGAACTCAGTTGGGAATCCCATAGCCCTGTATATCAATCCCGAGCTATTGTGTGTTGCTGCTGCAAAGATGAGGCCATCCATTAGGGAAGTAGGAGATACTGATCAGATCCCAACATATGGTGAGTTGTGTGTTTTTGCTGCAATTTTCGTCAGCTAATGACAGGTTTCCGATTGCTAAGTTTATTTTTGTTGATTTTGGCAGGAATCGGTGATGACAAGTTTACCATCGAGCTCCATTATAAAGGAGAGATGTTGTATGTTCTCGACGAAGACTTGTGTTATTTTGGAGGTGAAGTTAAATATCTGGACTGGATAGATCCAGATTGCTTATCTTTATTTGAAATGGATGGATATCTTGTTGAGTTTGGCTTCTCAGAAAGTGTCAGAATGATGGAGGAATATAGGTTGAAGAATGGTTGGGCATACTATTGGAGACTACCAGGAGAACGACTGAAGGAAGGGCTACAAGAATTGAGAAGTGACAAAGATATTATGGACATGGCTGCAAAGGTTATTCAAGTCTCTAAGTTTGTTGAGGTTTACCTGATCAATACAGAAGAATTGACTAAAGCTAACCTAGAAGCAGACAAAGGAGAAAATGAAATAGAAGTTGGCAGAGACATTTTCCAAAGCCCACTTGAAGTACCACATGATATGGCAGAGGCATTCTCCCACAACAATGGAACTAATGGTGGCATTGATGGTGGCAGCAGGGGAATGAATGAGGCAGAATATGATTTGCCCTGCCAAAACAATGCAGGGGAGGCTGAAAGAGAAGGTCACAGCAGGGAAGTTGAAATTAATATTGATGACAATGTGGAGAGTGATCTTGAACGAGGTTTGGCTGCTGATTTTGAGGCCAGTGATGAAAATATGGAGTGGCAAAGCAGTGATGGGGTGGGTGGCAACCATGACATGTATATTGATGATGTATTTGAGGTTCCTGAAGAGGATGAAGCATATGATTCAGATTACATAGGCAGCGTCCATTCAGATGAAGAAGACGAACTGCAAAGGGTTCCAACACGTCCAAGGTACCCTGAGTTCAATCCAGAGAAAGACATGAATGATCCCCAATTCTGTCTGCACCAAATTTTCAGGGATAAAGACCCTTTCAAGGATGCTGTGAAGAACTACTCTATCAACAGCAAACAGCCACTCAAGTTTAAGCACAGTGACAGTAAAAGAGTTCAAGTTGTATGCCAACCAGGATGTCCATGGAACATATGGGTAGCCCCAACTGATGATGGAAAGGCAGTTCAGATAAGATCATGTTGTCTAAGGCATGAGGGTTGTGTCTTGGTGTTCAAGAACACATTTGGGGATGCTAATTTCATCGCCAAAAGATACATACAGAGGTTTCAGGCTGATCCGGATTGGGGAGCTGCATCAATTATGCAAACAGTTGCAGAAGACTATAATTGGACTATTTCAAGGTGGAAGGCATGGAGGATTAAACGACTTGCAAAGGATCTTATAAGAGGCAATGCTAAGGCCCAATATCATAAGCTGCAGGACTATTGTGCTCAAGTTCGTAGGACAACTCCCGGTTCAACCTGTTATGTGGAAACAACTGAAAATTCCAATGTCTTCAAGAGAATGTACTGTTGTTTAGAACCTTGTAAGAAGGGGGCTGCTTTCTGTAGAAAGGTAATTCTGCTTGACGGATGTTTTCTGAAGACAGAATATGGAGGACAATTACTGTCTGTAGTTAGTATAGATGGGAATGGAGGGAGTTTTCCTTTGGCATATGCTGCAGTCAAAGTTGAGAATGGAGACAACTGGACCTGGTTCTTAAACCAGTTGTGTCTAGATCTTGATATCTTCAAAGATCCAGGAATGTGAACATTCATGTCAGATAAGCAAAAAGTTATGATGTTTACTTAGTGAATATGGCTTCTTCAGTAGAGTAATAAGATATTGACATGTTTGTTGTTTTGTAATGCTATTTTGCAGGGCCTTTTGAATGCTTTGGAGAGTGTTGTTCCACATGACGAGCAGCGATGTTGTGTGAGACACTTGGTTTCCAATCTGTTTCGGGCACAAGGAGGTAACAAAAAAACCAAAGACTTATTATGGAATTGTGCTAGAGCTAGTTATGCATCAGAATTTGAGAGGTGCATGACTGAGTTTAAGGCTTATAATAAGAAAGCTCATATGTGGTTGCTTGATAAGCCGTTTTCACAATGGACGAGAACACACTTCCAGCCATATTGCAAGTCAGATGTGTTGACAAACAACATCGCTGAAAGTTGGAATAACTCTTTGGTAGGAGCTAGGACCAAACCGATCATAAGCATGTTCGAGACTATTAGAAAAATTTTGATGCATCGATTTCGTGTTAGGAAGGAAACTGCAGTGTTGAAATGGAAGGGTCGTTTCTGTCCTAAAATCCAGAAAAAGCTAGACTTGGCTCAGAAAGCTAGCTTCACTTGTAATGCCATTCAGAGTGGTCCACAGAAGTTTGAGGTTTCATGTCGTCAAGGTCAGGTTGTTGTGGATGTGAGCAAATCCAAATGCACTTGTCGGATGTGGGAATTAACAGGTTTACCTTGCCCTCACGCCATACGCTGCATATGGCAACTCTCGAGAAGGGTAGAGCAGTATGTGGACAAGTGCTATGAGATTGGAACTTACCTTGCAGCTTACTCTAGTGAGGTGGAACCAATGGTAGGGCCAGAATATTGGTTGCCAAGTGGGAAGGAGCCTGTGTTGCCACCATAGCTAGTTGTAGAAGAGTCAAAGAAAGGAAGGCGCCAAACCAAAAGGAGAAAGGGTATTGAGGAGACAGCTGGTCCTGATAAACAGAAACGCAAGTTTAAAGCTGAAAATGAAAGAATGAGTAGGAAGGGGAAGGGGGGAACCATTCATTGTAGTGAGTGTAAGCAGCCAGGGGACAATAAGTCCTTCCATACAAAGGGGAAGAAGGGGGAAAACTCAGCAGAAGGTGCTGCATCAACTCAACGGTCATCAACAGAGGTGAGACTTTTATAGTTGTTTGCTTGAAATTAATTTAATTTCTCATGTTTATGTTTCTGATTTGTAGGGAAGCACACAAGCTATTGGATCATCTGGTGTTGTTTTACCGTGGATGCCGGATGTATGGTCTTAATGTTTAAATTCCATTATTATTTGTAAACTTGTATACTGTGAGAACTCTTACAAATTGCTATTGATTTGTAGGGAAGCACTCGAACTCGTCCAATGCATTTCTTAAGTCAAGCTGAAACTACTTCTTTTCCATCCCAGCAAGGCAGTCAAAGCTTCAATTCAACTTGTCTTCCACCACGACATAGTAGTCAATCTGAGGGACAAACAATGCGCTTTGCACAAGGCGAGGTAAGACAAAACAAACTTCCTATTGTTTCAAAAGGGAAAGGGCAGATGTGATATGTTTCGTAGTTAAATGGGGTGGAACCATACAGTAAACAAACATGATTTTCAGCTGCTTTTGGTGATTATGTTACATAACTATCAGCTGGTTTTTTTTTGTGGTTTGGTTTCCATGACATTTTTGGTGTTCATGAATTGTAACTGCAGATCTGCTAAATGCAGCCTAGCTTTGTCCTTCGAAATATCCTGCATTTTGAAGATGGAAACAACACTTCTCTTAACTTCTAAAGCTTTCTACCTTCATTAGCAGATCTGCAGACTCTTTCCAGCATGGCATTACAGTCTGAAACATTGCTCCTTTAATACATAATCCAAAACATGTTCCAAATTCATTACATCATCCAAAACAGGTTTCCAATTGATAAATCATCCTAAACAGGTTCCCACCTCATTACATGTTCCCAAACAGGTAATCAATCACACTCTTAGCCAATAGAGTTCCAACCACAATAAAAAAACTTTTGCTCATTTCTCTAACAAATGAGCTGTGATTGTTCCTCCTCTCCACCTCTCGGATTCTCTTGTGCAATGCAAGAACAAGGCGCTTAATGTTATCTTCAAGTGGTGGATCGATCCAACGGAAATAATTGCAAGCATTTACACCCTACGAATCAAACAACAGAAGAACCAGATCCATAGTTTATATATGGGAAAGATTTAGCATATGCAGTACACGCCAAAATGAAATGAAGATTTAATCAGCATACCCGATAATTGGCGCAACCGAAGAATCGTCTTCCGGGGTTGGCATCAGTCCACGAGGTTCGAAGAACCGCCGGTACAACGCACCGGCACATTGGAGGTGTTGCCGCCATTGTCGACTTGGAGGAAGGAGGAAGAGGGTGTAAAGAGAGAAGGGTGTGTTTCGGGTGAGGAAATTTTGGGGAAAGAAAGGGATAACAACAACAGAAGGGAAGGGTTTTGGGTTTGACAGAGAGTTTCCAGAAGTTAAGAGGAAGGGAAGAGCGGGATAACACAGAAAAAGCAAAAAAATGAGCGGGAAAGAAAGGCTCGGATGAGTCAGCAAGCTGTGCTGACATGTCCTGCCTACTTGTCCTAGCAAATTACATATTTGGTACCTGCCGTTACTTCCGTCGACGGAACTGGTAGCTTTGCAACCGGAAGCTTAGGTAAGGGGATTAGTTGCAACATAATCTGTTTAGGTGCTAACCCTGCAACATTATTAGCACTTAAGTGCCATCGGGTGCAATTAACCCTAGCATGCGGGTAAGCATGCTTGTCTTGTGGAAGAGTGGCGCGGGTTCGAAGTCTGGCGGCGACAACAATTTTTTGACTTGGACTTGGCGGGTCATCAGAAGCGAAGACGTGGGCCGCGAGTTGATGTCGGGCCCACTCGCTGGCGGAGTGATGTTGGGCCGCGAGTTGGACAGGCGGTGAGGTGTGTCGGGATCTGCTCGCGGAAATGTGGCGGGGCGGGCCTTTACTTTGGTGGAGGTTTCTTTCGTGGCGCGGGAAACTTGTTGTATATGTTTGAGCGCAGAGACAAATCACCAGGCGCGCATGTAGCCTGCTGGTGATTTTGTTTGTCTGGCGGAAGAGTGGCGTGGGTTCAAATCACGGCGGAAGCAGTATTTTTTGAGTGTTGTGGGGATTGGCGAAGTGGGCCGCGATATGCTTCCGCGCGAGTTGTTGGGCCGCAACATGGGCGCGGGCTTGGATGAGGCGGGCCGGATGTACGGCAGTGGCCTGTGATGCTTGACTCGGGCGCGGGCTGGTGACGTGGGCTTGTCAGTGCTATGCGACGGGCCGTGAGCGGCTATTGGGCCGCTAGTTGCTTCCGCGCGAGCTGTTGGGCTGCGGGTCTTTGGCGAATCGGGTCGGACGCGATGAGGATCTGCGCGGGCTGAGAGTGGAGGCGGGATCGGGTGAAGCACAGGGAACAACGAGAAGCAAACAGTTCTCTGTTTTTTTTTTGTGCATCCACTTTCCAGCCTGGCATCCACTTGCCTATTACTTTGCGTCGATGCTTGCGTCGCTCCCGGTATGAACAATGATATTTGTTGGTGTGGGGTTGACTCACGATCTGTTCGTCTGATCTCGTCGGGAGGGAAGGGACATGTGAAAGAGCCGGGGTTGCCCCCCGGATTAAGCTCCGACGATCAAGTCAGTTTATGTTTCAGGTGAAAGTTGAGAGAACAAGGTAGAAAGATAAAGTGTAGAGAGATAATGGAAAGTGGAAAGTGAGGAGGGAGAAGAAGTCCCCTTCTTTGGAGGGCTTGAAGCCCTTATATACCTGTAGCGGGTATCCAGTGTTCCCCATTGTCGATTGTGCCCCCTCCTACTTATTCTGAATCGGAGTTGTTGGGGATGTGACTCGGATCTCAACACGCCGAAGAAATACCCAAGGATGCTCACGCCAAAGTCTACGCGCGAGTCGCGCCAGGGCTAAGCGCGAGTGTAGAGACCGGCCCCAAGGACCGAGCATAGACACCAAACGACGACGCTTTGGACAAGCGCGGGCCCTCACCGAGAAGTTGTAGAAGCGGCGCCGCATCACCCAAAGGGTAGTCAACATCATAGTCCTAGGTATAGTCATGGCTAAGGGTCTTGTCACCCATAGGGATATGGTCTTTGTCCCTGACATGTCAGTGGTCATGTCACCGTACCGTAGTGGTCACGTCATTGTACCATCATGTAACTCACCCACCACCATGTAGCCTATAAATATGGCATTTAATCCAGTGGGTGAGGGGGGCGGATTTTTCAGACTCTATCTCTAAGATCATCACTTTCTCTCACTAAACACACTCTCTCTCTCAGCTCTATCCTCCCTCTCATTTGTCTCAAAGTTCTTGTTCAACCAAGCCGTTCATTCTTCTCGACCCATTCTAGTGAACTTCACTCCTACACTCAGTTAAGTTCAAACAATTGGCGCCCACCGTGGGGCCTGGAAAAAAAATGGCAGAACAAAACTCCAACATACCTGGCGAGGTAACCCCCATCAAGGCAATGACGGATCCTAGGGTGTTCGCGGGACTCGCGGAAGCCAGCAACCGCGACGCGGTACTCATCGAGGAAGAGGAGCCCGAACTGACGGCCAAGGAGATGAGGCAGCTGGTGACGAAGCAAAACGACGTCATCGCCGATATGCAAAAGCAGATGAGCCAAGTTATTGCGCTCATGATGAGCAGAGAAGCTGCGGCAGCGCCAAGTGCGCCATCTGATGCGTTACAGCTAACGCAAGGAGGGACATCAGGCAATGTCCCGCCACCACATCAGGCAGCGATCGAGTTGACCGCGCCTGAAGCCCAGCGATAAGAACCGCCCAGAAGAGCGGACCTTAGCTTTTTGGAGCAACACCTGTCCCCACAGTTCCGCCCCAATCCGCCTAGAAAGGCCTTACATCAACCGTTGTGCGCGGAGATCATGGCGGAACACTTGAGCGGGACACCACCCACCCTCCCCACGTACAACGACACAACCGACCCTGAGGATCACGTCAGCACCTTCTGCCTACGGATGCAACTCCAAACCAACTCTAACGCGGCACTGTGCCGGACGTTCCCATCAACATTTTCCGGGATATGCCTCGACTGGTATAACCGCCTACCCAATGGAATCATCCGCTCTTTCGAAGAGTTCATACTCCTGTTCACAACGAAGTTCGCGTCACAAAAAAGAAGGCCTCTCCACCTCAAGGCGCTGATAGACATCCGCCAGAAGGATGGAGAAAGCTTGCGGGCGTTCTACGCCAGGTGGTCCAGGGTGGCAATGGCTGTGAGAGATCTCACCCCAGAAACCGCCGCCCATCACCTCATGGACGCCACCACTAGCATGGAGCTCAAGAGAGCGCTAGCAAAGAGACCAATCACACTATCTACGGAGCTTGAGGTCAAGATTGAAAAGGCCATCACTTTGGAAGAGACGCTGGGCGCGGGCTCCATCAGACGTTTCGAACCCGCCAAAGTGCCCAAAGAAGATCAAGCTCGTAGGCAGCTTCCTGTGCCGCGAGACCAGCTGTTGCAAGCGCACAGCGGCGCCAGACGCCCACCACCTCCTCCAGAACAAGCCCATCGGTGGCGGTCGCCAGATAGGCGCCCGCCAAACTACACACCCCTCAACGACACGGTTAAGAACGTCTACCACGTTCTGCGAGAGAAGGGGTACAAAATCAACTGGCCCGCCCCCATGAAGACCCTCCCGCACATGCGAGACCCCAAGAAGCGCTGCGAATTCAACAGGGACACGGGTCACTGGACAGAAAACTGCAGAGAGTTGCGCTATGAGATCGAGGGCCTCATTCAAAGGGGACTCCTGAATGAGTTCATTCGCGGAGCGGAAGAACCGGTGGAGCGCCCTGTGGAACCCCCACCATCGCCACAGGCTGACTACGACGACGCCTCGGGCTCATACGTAGTGCGAAAAGAAATTGGGGTGGTAACTATAGAAGGGGACGGCCCGAAGAAAAAGACAGAGCGCGACCGCGCCATAGACTGCGCGGCGGCGGAAGCTCCACAGAAGTGCAACTTGAGCTTCGACGACGCTGAACTCCCTGGAGGGGTCCCGTCAGAGGACCCACTCATCATCACCGCGCCGTCGCCGCCTGCAAGGTTCGCCGCCTACTGATAGACGGGGGCAGCGCGGCGGACATCCTTTTCAAAAGCACGGTCGATCAGATGGACATCGACCCGCGGCTAATCAAGCCCGCCTACGGGAACTTAGTCGGTTTCTCCGCCACGAGGGTCCCAGTTATCGGTGTGGTCACTTTTCCAGTCGTGCTCGGGGACCAAGAGCCACGCGTCTCGAAGCAAGTCTAGTTCACGATAATCGACTGCAAATCCCCCCACAATGGAATTTTTGGCCGCCCGCTCTTGGCAAAATTCATGACTCTCCCGTCAACATGCCACCAGAAACTTACATTCCCCACTAAGGAGGGGAGCGGCGAAGCGCGCGGGACAACATGGGAGGCCCCAAAGCTAGGAGAAGTCCGCCAGACCAACATCGTTGACACAAGGGCAGAAGAGCCTCGCCCGGAGTCAATGGATTCTGACTTCGAAGTCGCCCTTGATCCGAGCGAGCAAACACGCAAGGTACGCGTCTCAACTCACGTCCCTGGAGACGCGATTGAACCGTTGATAAAGCTGCTGAAAGAGTATAAAGAATTATTCGCGTGGTGCACGGAAGACATGTCGGGGGTGCCAAGAGAAGTCTCCTAACATTCTCTTGGGGTCCCAGTCAGCGCGACGCCAAGACAACAGGCGCGACGGAGCTTTACGGGCGACAAGCTTAAAGCCATTGAGGAAGAGGTGGCGCGCCTGCTGTCGGCGGGGTTAATCCGTCCAGTGAAATACCCGAAGTGGCTGGCGAATGTGGTTTTGGTAAAAAAGTCCTCGGGGGCTTGGCGAATGTGCGTCGACTACACGACGATCAACAAGGTGTGCCCAGGGGATCCCTACCCGCTGCCGCGCATCGACCAACTGATCGACGCCACCGCCGACCATGAAACACTGTCTTTCCTGGACATGTTCTCAGGGTACCACCAAATCCCAATGTCGCGCGAAGACGAAGAGAAAACAGCCTTCATGACGCCGTTCGGAAACTTCTGTTTCGTCAGAATGCCATTCGGGCTGAAGAATGCTGGCGCGACATACCAGAGGATGATCGACGCGGTGTTTTCACAACAAAGGGGGCGCAACATTGAGGCATATGTGGATGACCTCATCGTTAAGACCAAGACAGGAAAGTCACATTTGGATGACCTGCGCGAGACATTCGAAGCGCTCCGCAAACACAGTCTCCGCCTGAACCCGCTGAAATGCGTGTTCGGAGGAGAGGCCGGAAAATTCTTGGGATT